AAAATATACATATATGTATACAAGATAGTTAAGATAGTTATAATACTAATTTCTCTTAGTTCATTGAAAAGAAAGGTTTGTGCTAATACTGACAATTAAACGCGTATATCTTGTACTCTGAGTAACTGAAGATAAAAATACACAATATATCAACCATTGTTACTGTACTATTATCTTCTTTTGAAATTCTGTTTTATTTTTTCCTCTTTAAATGAAAATTTAAAAAAATAAAATAAAAAAATAAAAGCTGGCCAGGCATGATGGTGTGCTCCTGTAATCCCAGCACTCAGGAGGCTGAGACAGGAATAATATTCTGAGCTGGAGGGCAGCCTGGGGCTCCATAGTGAGTTCAAGGCCAGCCTAAACTACACAGGGAGACATTGTCTGGGAAAAAAAAGCCACACATCATTTTTTCCTTTATTTGCTAGTTTTTTATTTTTTATATTTTTTTGAGACAGGCTCTCACTATACACTTCAGGCTGCCTTGAACTCACTTTGTAGCCCAGACTGGCCTTGAACTTGCAGCAATCCTGCCTATTTCCAAGTTTTGAATAAAAAATTCAGGTATTATGTCATTTAATCTTAATAACATTCCAATGCGAGTAGTCTATTGAGGTAGTACAATTATAGTTTCCTTTCCAGATGAGAAAACAGAGGCAGATTAATTTAAGGAGTAACCGTGGACTGTGCGTGGTGGCGCACACCTGTAATCACAGCTCTCAGGAGTTCTGAGGCAGGAGGATCGTTGCAAGTTCGAGACCGGCCTGGGCTATAAAGTGAGTTCAAGACCAGCTTGAACTGTATAGTGAGACCCTGTCTCAAAAAAAAAAAAAAAAAAAAAAAAAAAAAGAGTTGGGATGTTTTCTGAAGTTCAGGTGCTGGTGTTATTTAACCTCAAGTCACAAAATAAATGTTGAAAGGTTGAGTCACCGCACGGGTTAGATTCCAGAGCTTATGAAGTTTGATTCTCTGCAAAAAAGGTGTTTTTCCTTTACATCAGCGCGAGTCACCCGACACCTCCAACCTGGGTCCAGTTCTCAGCTCCGTCTCCAGACACCCTCCGTTGTCATGGAGACCCAGGACGCCCGTGCCGCCCCGCCCCCCGGGAGGCCCAAACCCGGGCCCACGGTGACGCATGCGCGTTCTCGGCGGCGAGGGGGCCCGCGGTGGCTGACGGGACTGAGCGTCTAGCCGCCCGATCAGGAAGTGGCGGGCGGAGCCCGGGCCGAGTCGCTGC